AAGAGTGTGTCTCGCCTCCTGATATGCCTCCGGGCCTGTACTGTCCTCTTCCTCGCCAGGATCAGAGAAATGAGGCTGGAGAGGCAATGTCCAGGACAAAACGTCCTCCTTGAAGGACGGTGGAATTATCACAATTGCTTTGTGGGGTTGTGTTTCGAGAGAAGAGTGGAAGAATACGCCTGAGGAGTGTTGGCATAAGGCATCTTGCGGAGAGCTCACCTCTGTCTTTTTCTAGAAGATGTAGGCTTGTACCTCGTGTGGTTTTTTTGTTTGTTTATTTTTAATTTTTTTTACACTTCTCTTTCTATATGAAACAGAGAGCAGTGGGGATTGGTTGTTTTATCTACTACTGAAATGCAGCCATCAGTGCAGAATAAGATGAGAACAGTTTGAAAGGAAGCATGGAACACTGTATTCAACTGAAACTAATTACCTGATTAGGTTTTGGCCTGGTTGTGTGGGTTGTCATCCAGTGATCTTGGCAATGATACCTGTGAGCAAAGCCAAGTAGAGTCTTGCTTCATTTAAAGACTCTGGACAAAACTTCTGGACTTGTGTGCTGAATGCTAAGCAGTGTGAAAATAGGCCACTGATTTAAAGAGATGTTATCTCACCTGGTCTCCTACACTGGTGTCTTCTCTTTTTTTATCTCCGTATGGGCTAAATATGTTAGGTCTGTTTTGTTACGTGAGAAGTATTTGTTACTGCTGTTGTCTTCTTTTGCGCCTTTGCGCACACTGATCTGTTAGTGTCTTTGTTTGGAAAATGGCATGTTTTCATGTTAGGAATACCAATGCAATATCTCAAGGGGACAGATGGATGTTTGTCTAACGGTCAAGTGGTAGATGGATGTCTATGTTTAGACATGGTGTGATGGTATTTTTTTTTTGTCTTGGCATCACTCTAAAGGAAAAAAAAAACATTACTGGGAAGAGAGGGATGAGTCTTTCATTTGTATGATATTATGAAAATATAGTCCATTAAGAACATAGGTGAGCAGAGAACTTCTAGGAAGACTTGAAGTGTCCTGCCTCTGCACAGGAAGCTTCTGGGCTGCACCTACTCCTGGCACCCTAGAGACCCTCTGTCCTCACTTCTCAGGGAAGGAACGACTTTATGAGGAAATTTGGTATGTCTGCTCTGATATCCTGGAAGTGCACTACTAAAATGAATTGGTCAAGTGGTTGATGAAAAGCCAAGACCTGGTACAAGATGCTCCACAGAACAATAAATCCTAATAGACAACCATAGGAAGAAATAGTTCTGCCAATTGGCTGACAATTTTAACTTAGCAACTAGCTTATGCTTTACCCTATCCCTTAACATCTAAAATAAATATTGAATTCTCTCCTGTTTACAAACTTTCTTAAACCATTCGCCTAAGAGGCGGTGCAATAATGAAGTCCTGAAAGTTGTGTTTGTCTCCCTCCTCTTACAGCAAGAATAAATCCATCACATTTTTGGCCTCCCACAAAGACAACAAATGCAATCATGCAAGTGCCATAAAAGCCCCAAGGAACTTCAGGAGCAATTTAAAAATAATAATAAAAAACAATACGCTTTTGGACTCTCACTACTTCTCTGTGGAACGAGGCTGGGCAGGGACGTGAGGCAGAAGAGAATTCACCTTGTATAACCTGGTATTCGCTTCCCCTCTCCTCACTATCCTCAGATTGGCTGCCATGGTGTTGGCAGGAGCCTCCTGAGCTTTTGCTAACTAGAAGTTTTCCCGGCTGTTTGGCCCAGGATTTTGCAGAGAAAGAGGAAACCTTTCTGGCTGAAGCTTCTGTAAAATCCCTGCTTCGGTGATCAAAGCGCAGTGTCCCGATGGGGGGAAAAGAGAGTTGTGGGAGATCTTGGGGGTGTGGTGTGGGGAGCAATGTGCCTTTCCACAGGGCCTGCCTGCTTCATGATGAATGATCATCTGAGAATAGAGCTGATCTAGGAAAAGTGATGGGGGTACAAAGGCAGTAAGATCGCAGCTTCGTCTAAAAGCGTGCGTAAAGTTCAACTCTTGCAATTGAAAATGTGTGTGTGCGCGCGCGTGTGTGTGTCTTGTCTCTCTTTCACCCTCTTGCCCTTCCTCCCTACCTCTCTCCTAACAGCTACTTGTGTTGCTGTTGCAGGATGATTTGGAAGTTCGCCTTGTCCGTTTTCTTGACGGCTGCGCTGGTTCGAGTAACGGACACCAGGAAAAACCGCCCAGCCGGCGCCATCCCCTCCCCGTACAAAGACAGCGGCAGCAGTAACCACTCGGAGCGGAGGCAGCAGCTGAACAAGGAGGTGCTGGCCTCCAGCCAGGAGGCCCTGGTGGTCACAGAGCGCAAGTACCTCAAGAGCGACTGGTGCAAGACGCAGCCCCTGCGGCAGACGGTCAGCGAGGAGGGCTGCGTCAGTCGCACCGTCATCAACCGCTTCTGCTATGGGCAGTGTAACTCCTTCTACATCCCCCGGCACGTGAAGAAGGAGGAGGAGTCCTTCCAGTCCTGTGCCTTCTGCAAGCCACACAAGGTCACCTCTTCAACCGTGCAACTGGAGTGCCCTGAGCTGGACCCGCCTTTCCGACTCAAGAAAATTCAGAAGGTCAAGCAGTGCCGGTGCATGTCTGTGAATCTGAACAGCTCAGGCAAGCTGTGAGAGCAGGCATGGAGCTACTGCTTGGTGTTGCCCCACCAGATTTACTGCTGCCTCTCCTCTCCCACAGAGCAGACTGTCCATTTTGTTGGTTTATTTCTTCTCTTCCTTTTGTTGTTGTTGCTGTTTGTTTTCTTTCAGGAGGCATCTCTCCAGCAAGGAAAAGCTCCTTGTCGCTTGCCTACTGGAATAATCCTTTTTAGAGGACTGTGTTAGGCACTTCACTCTAAAACTTTATTCTATTTCCAATATCATCTGCTGGTTGAATCTTCTGGAGTGGAGCAGGCTCCCAGAAGCTGGGATTGAGGTTCTAAGTGACCAGTTGGCTGAATCCAGCATTAAATGTTTCCACTGTGTGGAGTAAAGCCCTCTGCCCTACACTCCAGTCCCCTTCTCAAGATTAGCTTCCCTGTGCTTTGGTTCGGAGCTTGCCACTCCCACTTGGAAGGGCTGGGCTTCTGCTGGGGATGCAGATGAGGGAAAGTAATGAGAAGTAACATGCAAAAAACAAACGAGACTCTCCAGTGGGGCTCATCTCCTTAATACAGCTTTAATTGTGCAATGGCGGGTGCTGCCAGGATTCTTGTCTCAATGGTGGATAAGAAGCGATGGGGAGAGGGCAAGGCATTGGTTTAGCCACTGTGACCACAGCGCAGACTGAGAGTGGGTGCTGATGCTGTTGCGGTTGGAGTACATCGAACATGGGGGTCTCTGCAGAAGTGTTTATTTTGTAACCTAGCTATAGTAAACAGCTGTTTTAAGTTTTATAGACCTAGCCCTGTATATTTTTCTTGTGGCAGAATATGCCAGAGATTAAAATGTGTTGAGTAAGAGACTCAGTTGCTAGGTCAATTGCCTGGCTTAACATGGATGTGGTTTAATGAGGCTTTTGGTAGGCTTTGTGTGTTTGTTAGAAATGTGTGTGTTTCTTGCTCCAGAAAGGAGAACATGACCTTGTATTTACGCCTGCTCGTACTGGGGAAGGCAAAAGGGTGGTGGGCGAGGAGCTGAGAACACTTAAGATATAAAAGCACTGTCACACAAAGGACAAAATTCGGTCATTGATGGATGGAATACAAAAGCTACATCAGTGTCATCAGGTTTTGGAAGTGGTGTCTCTCTCATTATTGGAAACCATGTTAATGTGTTAGTGTTAAAGGAAAAACCCATCAGTCAGTGCTGTGGGAATGGGTCACAGCTGTAGGAGCAGGGAGAAAGTAAGTTGTAATTGCTACAGTGCTGGTGGTCCACTCAATTTTTGCGTTCTACACAACCAGTGTTGTTGAATATTTGCAGTTCATTTTAAAACATACTATGTTGTTATTCAGTTTATGGAGTTGAGCATATCCTTTATATCCCATTTGTTTCAGTTCTGATCTGTATTAGTCCCAGCTGCATTAAAACCCTACATCTCAAAACAAACCAGCCAAACCAAGCCCTGTGCGTGTTCAGTTGTCTGAAGCTCACAAATTAAAAATGACATACCAACTCCCTGATGCACATCTTGCAGTTCAGCATCTGCATCTAGCAAAATCAGCTTGCTGTGGGAGCTGTTTCCTAGGATTATCACAGAATGGTTTGGGTTGGAACGGACCATCTGGTCCAAGTCCCAGCCAGCCTCTTCACACACAGCTGCTTCAAAGGGTTAATGTGTTGAGGCTGTCCTAAGATGCTTTCGGGACTGAGCTCCAGCACACCAAGCGGTTTATGGGGATTGGCATGGACAGGATGAGGTTGGTCAGGGCTGATAGTCCTGTTACGTGAATGGCCACAGCTTTTCGACCGTGATCTTTCAGCATGTCAGCAGTGTACAGGGAGACTCCTTGGGGGAAAATTGTTTTGGAAGCTAGTGCTGCCAGAATCGTGCCAGTCACCAAATGGGCACGATTCAGTCCAGGCTTGAGGGGGTTGTGGAGGGAAGTGGCAATAAAATCATCGAATCAGTAAGGTTTGAAAAGACCTCCAAGATCACCGAGTCCAAATGTCAACCAAACACCACTCTGCCCACCAAACCATGTCCCAAATAGCTACAGTCTACTAAGACTCCAGGGATCCCAGTCTTCACTTGAAAAAAATGAACTGAAAAAGTTAGGCATTTTGAACTAAAGAGATAGAAAAGCACCTGAAAAAACTTCAGTTAAGAGAAATGTGCAAGTATCTTTATCTTTAGCTATGCCCTGCCAGGGTTTTTCACCAGTTCGCAATATGAATATGCTGCAGCTTAAAGCTCCTTCTAGGAGCTGTGTTTATGTAAAAACTGAGTTGAGCTTGTAATGGCTAAAACTGTATTTAATTCTTGTTTTATAAATGGAAACGAAAATGAAGAAATGCTTTAAGTATAATGTAATTATTTTATAGGTCTACTATTAAATTATAGATTAAATAATAAAGCTGCTCTAGGGTTATATGGCATCCAGGTGTACGAGCTTTGCTTCAACACCTTGTGTCCAACTGCTCTCTAATTTGTGTATTCTCTGGCTTCCTTTTGACCCTACCAGATGCTGTAAATGATGATGGCTTGGGAAAGCCTAGCTACTTCTTCATTTATCCCCACCTCCCCTCAGAAGTACCTGCAAGGCAAGAGGTAAAAATAAATTGCACTAATCCTAGATTCTGGAGTCAATTCTGCATGCACAAATTCTAGGTTTGGTTTTGTTGGTTTTTTTTTTTTGGTTACCTAACAAGAAGACAACCAAAGCTCCACCACTGGCTGAACTGCTGACATCATTTGCAGTAAGAGAAGTAACTATTACCCTGACCTTAGTGCTTAAAATATAGCTGGATCCTGATGTAACAAGCACCGAACTACTCAGAGGGGAAAAAAGTGAGCTTTAACGGTTGCTATTAGCTCTTGAATGAGTACGCTGTCTATGTCTCCAAAGGTAGGGTGGTGGTTTGGTTTTTTTATCATTTCTCCAATCCAGAGAAAAGAGAGTTGCAAAATAATATTGAAAGAGAATTTCAGTGACGGGAGTTCGGAGCTCCAGCAGCTATCTCCTCCAACACCCTTCTCTCATTTCCACTTGTCTCTTATACACTCCTGCTTTGCAGGCAGCTTCATTGTGCAGCATGCACCTGAACCTCTGCTGCTTGTGGTACAGCCTGGGCTCCAACTCCAGCTCTCCCAGCCTCTCTTGCTTTCTGACTGCTGATCCACTATACTGCAGGCACACGCTGCAATCCAGAAATCTGCAATCTAAGAGTAAGGCAAGTCTCTCGAGATAGATGAAAAAAGCTTTAGGTCAGGTGGATCCGGTATTTCTTAAAGCAGAGTGGTGGTGTGGGACAGGGGAAGGAGGTGGACAGTAAACGTCAAGATCCATCACCGTGGAACTGCCACACAGTTTCTAAGAGCTTTAATTTGAGCTGCAGCTGGGAACAAATGAGAAAACAGTGCTGACTCAATGGAGACCCTTTATCTTCAGAAAGACACCATCTTTTTGAGGCAGTACACTTACCCTTGGACACCTTTCCAAATAGGTTGGATGAAAGTTGACCAGGTACAGCACAGGTACAGGTGGATCTGTCATTTGAAAAAGAATGGCCTGAAAAACCTGTTCTATAACATGAACCTCATTTGATTGATGAGTGGCAGACCTAAATGGTGTGGGGCATGGTTTTCCCTCTTCTCCATTTGCTCACCTGTTCACACTATCTTCAGAAAAACTCAGCTTCATCAGTTTTCACTTACTCTATCCATAGCAGTTTAAAATTGGTGTAACTTCAGTAACTGATGTAATGGAATTGGCACAAAGCCAGCTTTACTTATTAACCTAGAGCATGCAACAAAGTAATTGTAATGCAAAGACTTCTTGTATCTTCTCTCAAGGAAATTAAGAGCTGCTTCCAGCTTTTAAGCTGAAAAAAATAGGACAAGAAAAAGGTCAGTTTATGGAAGATATCACTAATTGTATTCTCACTGCCACTGTTAGTTAATACTTAACTAAGTTTTGGAAGTGTTTTGGGATGATGAAAGGTGCTACCAAAAAAGCTAACCACTACTGTGTCACGACATGACAAAGTACCATGCTTCTGGAAGGTTTTAGTTTGCAAGCTAAACAACACAAATCGTTGCAGCTGCTCAAAAAACAGACTGATGTTCTCAGTAAGTCACATCTGCTGCTTAGGTAGGAAAGCCCTTATTGAGCTGCTGCATTTATTAAAGTAACCATGAGTGACACGGTGGTGATCAGCAAAGGCTCAGTACCTGTGAGAAGTCTTGTAGGACTACAGCCAACTCAAGGCATAGTGTGTTTGATGTTGCAGTAAATGGGGGAAGATGGGACCCATGGGGTGCTCGACTTCTTTAAAGCACACCCAGACAAACAAAATAACATTAGTTTTGAATTCTGTAAAAAGCTGAGTGTGCCACTGAAATAAAAGCAGGAGTGAATCTTACGTTGGGATTCTACTCTGGAAGTGTTGTGGGTCAACTTTGCTGCTGCACACAGTGGGCTACTCTGCTTTGTATGGATGCTTGAAAACAGGCTGGAGAGAAGCTGTATGAGAGAGACATGTTCAACCAAATAGGCTGGTCCTCAGTAACATGCAATGGGGAAAAAGAAATAATCTATGTAGCAGCTTGTATCTTAAGATCATAACATGGTACCACCAGCTGCTGTCAGCCTTCAACACTGTTTTTCAGAGAGCAAGGCTTGTGAGTAACATTAACAGCTATGAGACAGATTCAGTGGAAAGGGTGGTATGTATGCATGTGACAGTCCTACCTGCTTGGTGGACAACACTTTGATGACATAAATCACATATATGTATATAGTTATATATATACACACCACCACCTGGGGAAGAGGTATATATCCACATAACTGGATGTTATTGTCACTGTGCTTCCCAAAGACAAGGAAAGAGAAACCCCATTTCCACTGCTTCCTTCAAAAAGGTTTTCCCTTGACCACAGGAGCCTGACTGGGATGTGATGCTCGAGGAGTGAACAGCGGCTAGCGAACCACAACATAGCCTGACAGTGAAGAGAGAAGGCAATT